ATCCCGTACACACCAGGATCCGCTTTCTTGTGCGAATTTCAGTCCGGGGCCGTAGAAAACGTCGGTGTATAGAGTCCAGTCCCTTACTCTCTCCCCCACGGATCGGGGAAGCGTAAGACTCGAGTAAGCGGGAACTCGGGTTCGTCGGCGTTTTTTGACGAGCGCGATCTGGATTTTGACGGTCCAGTTTTCGTGGGATGATCGCAGCGGGAGCCCGCGTCAAATTTCAGACCGGGTCTCGTCAGTTTTCAGATGGCCCCGGTCAGGCCAATTTGAGTCCCCCGTACCCGAGTCTCACGTCTCCCCGACAGGAGATGCGTCCGTTTCGACTCAGGGTTTTTCGGAGCTGATCAAGCGAGGACGGAATGGACGGGGTCGGAGGGTCGCGCTTCATCGCCGGTGCATCGACAAGTCGGCGCCATCGGGAGCGCGGTTTTCTCCAACCCAGCCTAGCCGATACATCGCCGATGCGCCGACGATGCGGTGCGGTCCTGCGACCCCATCTATTCCGACCGATTTGGGCGGCATCCAGGGAGGACGAATTGAATGGAACACAGAGATTCGAAACAGGGGGAAGCTTGTTATCGACGTGTTCCAGGAGGCCAGAGGTCATATCCAGAGGCCTCTACTGTAGAGACCGTTGGGCGAGGAGGGGTTCGAGTCGATTCAATGGGGAGAGGGGGGAGTGGCAGAAGTGACGGGTGATGGCACCCAGGTGTGGTGCCAAGGACGGGCCCTTCGAGACTGGCCTACCCTCGCAGGGTCAGCCCACCGCGCACTCCATCCCAGGATGCTGGGCTTGCCGCCAGCGCCTTCACGAGGATTTGGTTGCCTTCGGCCGCCGAGCGCCGCCAGCTCTGGAGACCACGGGGCACTGGAGGACCGGAATGATGGTCTTACCGCCAGACTCTTTAAGAACACTTCGTCCTGGCCTGCGGGCGCCGAACGCCGCCAGCCCTCGAACTCAACCAGGGTCTGAATGTCCGGAATGGTGGCCTGTTCCATCAGCACCTTCCCGAAGAACGCCGCCGCGAATTCCAGCCAGAGCTGGGCGGTGCCCAGGTTGATCGTCGTCCCGTCGGCGCCTCGTCGAGGATCTCAATCTCGCCTGCGGCCGCGCGAGGTCGTCAACCATTAAAGCGCCGCGCCTGGAATCAACCCTGGGTGCAGGATTTCAGCGTCAGCATCTTCGCGAAGAACGCGCCATGGCTGGCCTACGGCCACCGAACGCCTCCATCCCACGCAGCCCATGCGGGCCTGGATGTCCAGGGTGGTGCACTTCTCCGTCAGCGTATTCGCGAAGGGATCGTCGCGTCGGTGCCTCCCGCAACCTTCGACCGGCATGCAACAAACGCGCACACGCAGAAACGCTGCCCACCAGAAGGCGCAGCGGGGCGCCGTCGCCAGGCGTTCCCCAGTGCTTCGCCACGCGGGGCTCAGGGGAAATGACCGCGGTTGGCATTATTGCCCAAGTGGGGAGGCGTTCCACTTGAGCCAAAGTGGCTAATTTCGGAAAGAGGAGGAGGAGAAGGAGGAGGAGGAGGAGGAGGAGAGGAAGAATGGAGGAGGGAGGTGGGAGGAGGGAGGAGGAGGAGGAGGAGGACGTTTGCTTGCTGTACATAGAGTGCACTACATGGATCGCACCACATCGGGTGCACTACATAGATGGCAAATTCTTGATTTCACCATGTATGCTGCGACACGTACACTACAGTGCTCCACAACGGTGTCTCCACACAGATTGCACAGCATTTCTCATGCGTCGTAGGTCGCACGACTCTATCTGCACAACATTGGTTGCACAATACCCGCTCTTTATTTTAAAAGAGTATGAGGATCCCCCCCGGATTTAACCGCCCCTTTTTTTCCGTAGTGCAATGTGCATATCGTTCTGCCCCATCGTCCATCCGAGGTATGAACTTATACCATCCCGGCCGGGCCGCATCGACACACCCATTCATCCCATAGGAAAAATATGCGCGCATTCGTTTGTCAGAAGTCACCAATTTTTCATAGCGCCTGCAAAAGCCGGGACGAAGTGCACACGCGAGCGTCGTCGCGCGCGTGCGCCGAACAAGTCCGGAGTTTTCGAAAGGATCTCAAAATCAGTGGCCCGAAGACATAGAACAACATATGGCTTCGCAACAAGGGCTTTCCCGAAACAGCTGGCGCTGGGGTTCTTGCCGACCCTGAAGCAAGATATCGGTTTTTCAACATGATTATAACATGCTACCAAGCGGGCCTTTCGCGCGCGCATGACGACATCGCTCGAACGCGCTTGCGCACGTTCTGCCGCAAGAACCCTGAGTAAATAATAGGACGGAGTGCATGCGCGCGCGTCGTCGTGCGCGCAAGCTGGAACCCTCCAAGAACAGGCTCGGTTTCGTGAGGGGTTGAAAATCAAGCGTCCCGAAAACATCTAAAACCACATGGCTTTGCAACGCCAGTTGTCAAACACAAACGCGCGCGCTCTGGCAAATTCTGAAGCAAAGCTGCTGTC